AGTGGGAAATTATGATTCTAGGCCCAGCGGACACTCTTTAGTAAGACATTGAATTTTTTCGTTTGTCTCTTTATTATTAGCGCCAAAAATATTAAATATAGTTTGAAATGGTTTTTATAGCGAAGGAGGATTTTTCAAAGCAAGGCTGACATTCCCAAAGGTAAAAGAAAATTTCTCCATTATTTTTTGAGCATGGTCGATCTAGATTAGATTACTGACACATCTGTGTTTTTAATTTAGGATTATCCATTGATGCCGCCATCATTAAAATTTATAACTGAAATGTGGCATCCAAATGGTATGTACATGTATAAAAATGCAATATCTTCAATTATAAATTCATACTGATTTTTTCAAATTTCATCACTTAATATAGTTTATCCAAATGGCGATGTCTGTATCTCGATTTTGGTTAGTTAGAAATCAGTATTTTTAAAATTTCTTTTACGCGAATACCAAATTACTCTTATTAATCGCTGAATTACGCATATCTGTGTTTTATAGCACCCTCCAGGTGAAGATAAATATGGTTACGAAGATGCAGGTGAACGGTGGATGCCTGTTCATACAGTTGAAACTATTATGTTGAGTGTAATTTCGATGCTGTCGACCCCCAACGACGAGTCTCCTGCCAATGTTGAAGCAGCCGTAAGCATTGCATAATTAATTATTGCGCTTCTCATTTTTTTTGGAATAAAGTATTTTAACTAGTGAATTATTTTCGTTTTTCAGAAAGAATGGCGGGAAAATTATCCTGCTTTCAAAAAACGCGTACAACGTTTGGTTCGACGATCTGCCGAAATGTTATAGATGGCCAATCTTACGCGTATACGGAACTTTCATGACGATTTCATAAACATTTTTTGCTACTGTTAAGCTGTCCCAGCACCTGACTATTAACCTTCTAGACACTCCTACCATTTTCTAGATGCTTATTTTTTATCTTTTTTTAACTAGTTTATTAGTAGAATTTAATGAATAATCTATACCATAGTAAGAATAATGACGATAACTAGTTATTTATATAAATTTTAGCTTTATTAAATTTATTTTTGGATTTATTAATTCCACGTTGTAATCCAAAAGTAATGATGTATATTAGACATGTTATAAAAAGAAGAAAAATGAAAATATGAAGATTTGATAAACCATCACTTTATCTTATTAAATTTGATGTATTACCTTCATTAAAGTAACTAGCTATTTTTGGATTGCTGTAAGCAACATAAATCATTTAACTTTCAATTCTTTTACTTTGTTCAAAAATGTCTTTTTTCAGAACTCTTAATACCCGTTCAGAATATGAAAAGTTGTTGTCTTCAGCTCATCCTAATAAACTGGTATTATTATTCTCTTTATTAATTTCGATATATTCACAAGAATCAGGTTAACTTATTTCATTTCAATAGGTGGTGGTTAAATTCCACGCTGGTTGGTGCTCAGCATGTCATGTTATAGCACCCCTTTATCAACGGCTTAGTGTTCAGTATAGGCACGTTGCTTTTGCGAAGGTAAATTGATTTTTGATTTGATTCATAGGAAGAAGAATAAGTTCATTAATCAAAGTTTTATCTACATTGCGTTTTTCAACAAAGGTTGATGTCGATATTAATAAGGAGACAGCACAACTTGCAGGGGTGACATCAATGTATGTTTTCGGTGAATTTTCGGATTGATAATTAATACGAGTAGCTAATTATATTTTACAGGCCAACTTTCAAGTTTTTCAAAGGAGGTAATGAAATTGCAACGATAAAAGGTGCAGATCAAGGAGCTCTTGAAAGACATGTGAAGCAGTTTGCAGGAACTCCAGAGGAGAGTGGCCAGTCATTAATAACTGTTCAAGGCCACGTATGTGCATGTATATATATATATATATGTGTGTATAGCTAAATTCTTTACGCGAATCTAATTATTAATTCTCGGCAATAATTCTAGTCCGACATTAACGAATTTATCACCTTAAATCAAATTGATTGTCTTAATCAACTTGAAAATCATAACGTTCGAAATGCTTTTACAAAAGATGACTCTTATCTAGAATCTGACGTTGATGAACAACTGTTGATATCGATTCCATTCAACCAGTCTGTGAAACTCCATTCACTAAAAATAACAGCAAAAGATATCGGTTAGTTTAATAGAAATTGGCTTTTTTGAGGTTTCGAGTAAAATTTACGCTCAAAAATTTTCTCCTTTTAGAACACGCACCAAAGACAATTAAACTTTATGTGAATAGGATTAATTTTGGCTTCGATGAAACTGATTCTATCGAAGCAACGCAGACATTGGAATTGACCGAAAAAGATTACGAAGAAACTTCCGTCATCCCGTTGCGATTTGTGAAATTCCAAGCCGTGACAAGTTTAGTGGTGAGTCTTGACTTGAGAAGTTCTTGACATAAATTTTCTAGTGCTCATTTTTTAATTTATATAAAAACTTGAAAAAAGTTATTTGTGCAGGATAATCTTGGCGATGAAGATACAACAATCATCAAGAATCTTGTGTTTATAGGGTATATAGATCATTTTGCACATATCTAATTAGCTTGTTGTCCAATGGAATTAGTTACTTATCTCTCAATATATTTATAGGTCTCCGGTTGAAACAACAAAGATGGAAAATCTTAAAAAGTTAGACGAAAGTTCTTGATCAAAAGTCTTTGTTTATACTCTTACACGAGGCCAATATGTAGATCCGGTGCTGTGATATGATTCTGAATTAGGTATATTGCATGAAAATCCTTTGGGTTACGACGAGTAAAACGATTTCAATCTAAAACTCGCTGAAAGAAGCGTTAATCACTTAGGCTTCTTTTAGCTTTCAATAAAAGTTCACTTTACATTGAATATCAAAAAAATGCAGGATATAAATTCCTTTATTTTTCTAAAATTGATAACAAGAAGTTTAATCAACGTATTTGATAGAGGGGATTAAAAAGTTAATCGATAATCATAATTAAAAAAAAAATACGCCGCTGCTTCTGTCTCATATTATAATGAGATACAAAAACCCTTTATCAAAGCAATCACAAAGAAACTAAGATCGAAGCCCAAAAATGAACTGTTTATGGAATAGCTCAATCTTTCGGAGTAAACGGTTACCCAACTATGATCAAACCTGAAACTTGTCACAGAAAATTCATTTCCGATTCTATTTTTGATTAAACGCAACAGTGTACCGTTACGTATCGGTATTAATGCATGAATAATATGCTCGATAATCGCGGACCAATTCTTCTGAAAAAGAAGCGTATATATATATATATTTTTTGATTATTCTTTATTAACTTTTAAACTAGTAACACAATCTTACATATCTTACTATTTCGAGTTCAATTTGAGCTGCGTAATGATGCAACATCTTATCTGTGATTTTTAAGTAATATCCATGACGCCATCCCTTCCACTACAGTTTTATTATGGTAAAAAATTAACATATAGAGCGAAAACTAGTAGGTTCGTGAAAATTTTTAATTTTCTATATTGATGCAAAAATTTCTTTATGAATTTTTATATCGATTGTATGCACGTGTATATATTACAATTTTGTTATGAATGTTTTTGAAAATTTCGAATGGCAGAGATAAAAATTTGTACATTAATTTTGAGACCATTGTAAAATTTGGTGTTTAGAAAGGAAAATGGGGATTTTTGGCTATAATTCTTTGATGTTTTTTAGCTATAATTCTTTAATGTTCATAAAATCTAAGGGAAAAAAGCAAATAAATATTAGAAACTTTTGGATGGGTTTTTGTATGTCTTTTTTTTGTGACTTCTTTTGTGTTTCACGTAATTTTTGTTAAAAGGTTGACCATGCCCAATCTGGGGGAATTGTGTGTTGCTGCTGTTTGCATTGAGTATCAAGTGGTCGTCGAGGCTTTGTTGTATTAATATCTATATTATAAATAGAAATTATATTAATTAATTAATTGATTAACAATTACGTCAAGAACTCGCCAATTACCTTCTTTTGTTTCCGATTCAACTTTCCGAACATTTCGATATCGGTTAGTGTTTTCATAGCTACCACTCTCGCTACCACTCGAAGTGTAATATCCACTATCTCTTTTCTCTACACGACGTGAACTGTGACCATAAATTTCGAGCTCTTCAAAAGTTCGGTCAGCTTTTTTACATTTATTCAATAGTCGAACGTATTCTTCGTAGCACCTATCACAAACTCTTGATGCAGAGCCGGCTAAGTTGAAATTTGAATTTTGGTCAAGGCGAATATAATGTGAACAGTGTGTGCCGCAGAAAATATCGCCACACCTAATCATTTATGAAAAGAGAAGAATATTTAATAATGGTATATATTAATTTAGCAAATAATTGAAGCGACACAAACCTGCGACAATGATGTCTTCGTTCGAACAAGCCGAATTCTCGGGGACAACATGCCATCGAGCATTTCATTGCTGCTGAGTCAGGCTAAGAATTGAAAGGATACAAACATGAAAATCCGTAAAAAATATGAATTTATTCTTTGAATTAAATCAATAAATTCTAACCTTCCAGTGATTTTTAGAGGGTGGTCCAGTAGCATGACCCGAGAATAGAACTTCAGCATCATCAGCTTCTTTACCCATATTTTCTTTTCCGTATAGATAAGCATAGCCACCAAGATTTCTTCCTCGAAATGTCGAAGTATTATAAATCGGTGCAACTCTCGTCGCAGCGTTTCTTGGAAATGTGGTAGTCTGAAGGTGTCTTTGTTGAAAAATTTTTTGCTGTTGTTGTTGCTGCTGTTGTGGTGTTCGGTTTATTTCAAATGGATTATTTCCCATTGTTAAATGGGCAGGTTTCTTTCGGCAAGTTATATCAGAGACATCGAACATTTTGAATATGATTTATGTGATAATTAGAAAGAAAAAAAAATTTTGTATACTAATTTTCTTTTTATATATTTTCGCAGATAATGACGCGAAAAGTATATACAAAAGATAGTATTGTTGACAGATGATGATTTTTTAAATTTTTTGAGCGAATACTCCGTAATTTTTTAACTAAGCTTTAGGGGGTTTTATATTGATTGTAAGGAAAGGCGCGCAAATTTTTTAGTGCGTGAGAGCGTATCATCATAACGCAATTATTCGCTCGAATTGAACACATATAATTATTACAATAGTATTACTCTATTCATATCATCGTCGTTAATATATCATATATACTCATAGGTGCTTAGTCCACCACACAAAAAAAACTGGATTTTTGAACACCAATAATATATCAGCCAATCAAACACGGAACTCCAAAAAAACGAAAGAAATATAATACATGTGTCACCCTAGATTATCTACAAACAGGAATTTGTGCATAATATTTGCGGTAGTTATTTCTTGATTTTTAATGATAAGATGATCTTGTTCAGCTTATTTAAACCAGTCAATAAACATATATATATATATATACATTATTGTCAACTATACTTTTCCTTATTATACGCATTTTAATTATCCGGTGATGCAATTCAACATATTTTCTAAAGATGACTAATACACTCAAAATTTCTGTACAGAAATGCACGATATATACGGAATACATTTTTTTGTTCGAGGACACACAAAAAAATAGTTAATTCTCACCAAAATTCCCATCGATTGAATCATCATTCATCATCTTTTGAATCGATTTTTAATTAAGTCTAATGCAACTCGAAAACACCCTCCCCGTGAGAGCACACAGAAAGATAAGTTAAATTGAGTGGCGTTAAAAGTGTAATTACATGTGTGTATTCAAAACTGGCAGTAATATTATTGTGACCATAGATTACCGTTACAATACTGTAAACGTTGTTATCAAAATGCATTTCTCAGGTGACACAATAATTGTACAGAAAGAGATGAAAGATTGCAATTAATTTTAATGCTTTGATCATTACTAAAAACTTTCGAAGCGCTGGTCAATGACGCAACTTGATAAATTATTCCTATTCAATTCTTTGAATTTAGATATTTTTCTTTGTTTCTACTAATAACGATAAACTAAAAATGTTTGACGATAGCATTTTTAACGCGTAAATCGAAAATTCTTCGCCCTTTATGGTCGCCTCGTACATAAAACTTAACTTGTTCATAAAATCAACAAAATAAACCTGTTAAAACGACAGTCACCGCCCCGACTCGCCAATAATAGCTTGATTTAACGAGGATCTTACGACCGTGGTAATTTATCATTGACAATGCAATTTTCTCCCCTCTTGTTAACGACGAAAAAGTTGTGATAAACAAAAATCTGTCTCCTCGTTAAATTCTTTTGATTCACTCCTATCTATGAAAGATCTTCTTGACGCGTCAAAATATTATCTTTAATGGAATCTGTCTCCTTGTTAATTTTTTGACTCACCCGTATCTATCTTTGAAAGATCTTCTTGACGCGTCAAAATATAATCTTTAATCGAATTTAGTGTTGTATTGATATATTTAGGTCTAACTTTTTTTGCACGTTATCATAATGATTACGATTCGTGTAATATTCCGCCCACTACAAAATAAGAGTCATAAGACTGAGGGTTCAAATTTGCCGTTACTGCCGATTTTTGACCATTGTTGGGAAAAAATGTAGTTACATGCCAAAAGGTTTGATCTTTTATGCAGATAATATCATTAAATTAGCATTCGAGCTTTTTTATAATAATAACATATGGTTATTTTGACTTTATAATAATGTAAAAAAATAGTTTTGGAAAAGATATTATTTTTACAATCAAGTTTTTGACAGGTTTTTGAAAAAGATAAGTTTGGGCATATTAATATAGTATTGTGTCTTATATATCTTAACGTTAACGGTAAAAGGAAAGAACCATAGATAAATATTTAAGCAAGATAAACTAGACCCTCGTCATAACAATAACATAGTTAAATTCACATTATTATAACCTAACCCTTTGCTTTACATACAGATATGAAAAAAGTGAACAACAATTTTTGTAACTCGACTTTTATATGTTATTTGTGAAAGACTAGAAAGATTTTAAAGCCGGTTATTCTTGACAAAACTCCGTTATAGCCGTGTGACAGAAATTTGTGCCCTTTTTTGGGGAGGGGGGAGTTGAAAACGGTTACATCCTGCTTGGAGTACAGGATACTGACCTATATTCATTTAGTCTTATCTCGTTTTTAATCTGCCACAACAATTTTGTTGTGTCCTCGCTGCTTTTGTTATAATGAAGGTCGAGTGTATTGGGAAATAAAATAAAATTACATTTTTCGATTAAGTAAATTAGATTCAAACGCCGATTCGAAAATGGTTTGGTATTATCATTAATACAGTCTTCCCGCCATAAAATCACGTCCTTGGAAACAGCAAAAAGTGACTTTAAAGAGATATAACTGTATATGGTGCAACCAGTCTAAAGCATCCAGTATTTAATCAATATTAAGTTTTAAAAGAATTTTATTTTAAATATACTAACTATGTTATTAAATAATCTTTATATATTCCATAAAATATTTATATTTTTATATTTAATTTTTTATAATTACTAATTTAATTTTATTAAAATTTAAAATATATATTTATTATTTATTATAAATTAATAATAAATTTATTTAATAATAATATTTAAAAATTTTTTTTAATTTTTAAAAATTATAAATTTTTTTTATTATTAAATTAAAATATATAAAATATTAAAAATAATATAAAAATTATATTTTATTTAATAAATTATATTATTTTTTAAGAATTTTATATTTTATTTCAGTAAAAAGATTTATATCTTAAATAAAAAATTAATAATTAATTTAATTAGCTTTTTATAATATTTTTATTATTTTATTATATTTTTATAAATAATAAATAAAAAACTTTTCTTAAATAATTCTTTTTTTTAAAAAAAACTATTATATTTAAATTTTATAAGTATAATATTTATATTTAATAAAAATATATTTTAAAGAATTAAATTAATATTATTTTAAAATTGATTTTCAAAATTAAATAAGCTTTTTATAAAAAAAAATTAAAAAAGTTTTTATATAAAACTTTTTATATAAAACTTTTTTTATAGAAATATACAGTGGCTATCAAAAGTAATACAATACTTAAATTTTTTACTAATTATAATTAGTAAAAAAATTTAAGTATTGCATTACTTTTGATGGTTACGATATTATTTAAAATAAATATATTAAATAAATTAGAATATTTAATAATTTAATTAAATAAA